GGAATGCCACAGTTCTCCACCATCTGTGCCATGTGCAGAAAGGGTGCTGCAGTTTGGCTATCCATTGTGGCGCTACACAATCCCAGTCATTTACTGAAAGGGAAATATTTTGTGCCTGGCCCCAGGAAGTTCTACTTTATTTCGAAACCACTACCTCATTGCATGTACAAGTAGTGAAGCAGAAAATCTACATAGTCAGTGAAAAATATCGAGGACGGAGCTATGGCTCAGTGGTACATTTGCTTTGCAGGCATAAGGTCCCAGGTTCAATCCCTGCCGTCTCCAGTTGAAAGACTCAAGTAGCACGGTCACTAAGGTTGTATTTTAACGTTTTATGTATGCTCTGCTGCATTTTGTAACAGCCAATGGGTAAATACAATACAATTACTTGACTTGACTCATGTAGCAGGTGATGAGAAAAACCTGAGACCAGTGTTCCCTCTAAGCCGAGTTAGTGTGAGCTAGCTCACAGTTTTCTAGCCTCCGGCTCACCCATTTTTGTCTGAGCTCAGGAAGGATGGCTCCAGAGCAAACTAATTTATGCAGCAGTCAAAGCGCTTGCTCACAACTTTAAAGCCAGCAGCTCACAAAGGAGAATTTTTTGCTCACAAGACTCCACAGCTTAGAGGGAGCATTGTCTGAGACCCTGGAGAGCTGCTGCTAGTCAGAGTAGACAATACTGGCCTTGGCGGACCAAGGGTCTGACTCAGTATAAGCCCGAGCTTCATGAGTTAAAGGAAGGAGCTTGTGGCTCAGTGACAGAGCCTCTGCTCGGCATAAAGAACGACCCAGGTTCAATCCCCAGCATCTCCAGCTAAAAGGTGATGTGAAGGACCTCTTTCTGAAGTCCTGGAGAGCTGCCGTCAGAGCAGACAATACCGACCAACAAAGCCCAAAGAGGTCCACAGCACTTAGAACAGCCTTCACAGCATGCAATCAACAGGCAACTGAAAAAAATGTTTTATATATATATATAAAAATAAAATCAGCAGGGCTTCTAAGGAACAATGCATGGAGTTTTAAATAAGGTAGGAAACCAAGAAGGATGACAGTGAAATGAGTTGCTTGCTGGGACTGTACCACAAAGGTCTGAGCAAGCAGTGAAAAAGCCATGAGAAAGAGATCCAAGGAGACCAAAGTTTGAAAGCAAACTATGAGGCGAACGTTTGAGGTGGTTTGTGGGGTGTGGAAGCAGAAGACAACCAGATGTGCGGAAGTGGCAATATTATCCGAGAAGCCAAAAGAGGAAGGGAGGAGTGATGGATGGAGTGATCCATTTCTAAAATCAGAGATACTCAAGCAGGTCTGGGAATCACACCGTCCCTGCCTTTACTAAGCTTGTAATCCTAGGTGGGTCTGAGCTGGTTACTCAGAGGTGAGGGAAAGCCAGAATTCTGCTCGTGCTCTGAAAAACTCTTATAACCTCTTATGTTCCAGGGGGAACTAAAACTAGTTCACAAGGGGCTAAGCTTGCCACTGTAGAGGTCTGGTTCAAAATAAAGCTCTAAAAAGATGGATGTCGTCCAAACAGACTTGGTGAATTGCAGAGTAGCTCAACCACTCACGCAAGAAAAGAGTGATGGTTGGGAACAGGAAATGCTGACCTATGCAGGGGGGGGGGACTGAGGAGTGAAAGAGAATTTAAAAATACCTCTGCTGACTTTATAGAAATTACACAATAATGATAGATTATTCAGTTATGGCTCAATCACAAGATGCGCTAAAGTTTATGATTAGGCACTACCTGCTATATCCACTGTACAGCGTCATCACTTATTTAGAGGGCTGGATCCTTCTTCAAATGTTCCATCCACACAAGAGGGGAGAATTCTCATCAGTTCCCCTCCCGCAGCCAACTTCCACCCCACACTAAGTTATTCCAAGGGGCCCCTATCCCCATTTGGGGGTGGCATTGTGGGCTGCAGTTGGGAGGGGAAAGCAGAGAAGTCGAATCCCCCCTCCTGAACCAAATCCTTCATCCAATGGAAATTTTAAGTCGGATCCAAGCCAGAGGGTTTAGAAGTTACAGAACTGTTCCTTTCCTACGAACTGTAGCCATTATGACCAAGCCTGACTAGGGAATCTGAACCACAAACTTTACCACAGACACAACCTGTAAACAGCAGAGAACACCATCAAGACGGTGCACAGACAAGCAAGCCTTATTTGTTCAGTTAAATGTTAAAAAAAAACAAAAAAAAGGGGGGGGGGGGGAGACTGGAACTCTCCATTTCCCAAAACCAGAGTTTAAAAGACCCAAGTTCTGTCTCACACACCACAACTTAGCCAGAAATCTCAGTAAACCAGGTCAATTTGAAGAAATGCTTTCTTTATCACTAGGGCTACCCCAACCCCCTGAGGGGCAGTGACAATTTTATCTATTTAGAGACAAAAATTATCAGGGGGGGGGTGACAATAGGTGAACTCCTTCTCCACAATCATCCTGCAGAACAGGGCATAGGAAAACAACAGATATATTCACTATTTTCAGGCATCTCTTCTGCTAAATGTATGACAGGCAGATTCCTGCCTGATGTTTCTTCAGGCTCAAGTTCCCTGTGTCAGAAGAGCAAATAAGCAGCACTCCTATGCCCCAATGACAATCCCCACTGTTTAGTTCTCAAACTTCTGCCCACCACAGCCCATCACCACCATCTTCCTGCCCACCCACCCCAATTCAGAGGTACTTTTTTCAAAGTGAATTCACAACAGTCCCTCAGAGCTCTACACCTTGTTGTCTGTGGGATATGCTATGTCAAGCACTAAGGGCGCACTGCAGCTTGTTCTTTGGCTTGGAAGATAAGAAAAAAAATTGGGGGGGGGGGGGAGAAGAAGCACCAGTTTTGCAGATGCCCAAGTTCCACATTTGCCAAACCTCAACATCTCAGGTTTTGGCATCCAGTTCTGCCTTCAGGACAGTCCATTAAATATTCACACTTGACCGCTTTTCCATTTGCCTACCCCCCCCCCATCCCCAAATCCATTTTGTTGAGAGTTTCCAGCTCTGCTTCCCTGGCCAGCTATCTGAGGTAGGATTTGAAGGCCAGGTCCCGAAATACCAAACCTAGAACACAGGAACTACTATGGACAGGGATGAAGACTCTGAGAGAAGGAGTTACTTCTCGAAACCGGAAAGGAAATGGAAAGAGAAGTTTCACGTGAGCCGTCACTTGGCATGACCAAGAGCATACAGTTGTAAACGGAGCAGTAAAACCAGGAGGTGGATTTTTTTTTTAGAAAAAAAATTATAGATAACTAGTGGGTGTGTATTTATATTTATAGAAAACAGGATGATCTTTAAAGCTGCACAGTGGCAGGAGAGGGTTACGGGACCAGATTTCATTCAGAGCTCTCTCAGAAACAGATGTTGATTTTAACACTCGTCCTTCCCCCGCACACAACCCAAACTCTAGTCCAGTCCCTAGATCTTGACACACATTCACACACATACACAAACATCTTCCTGGAAAAGAAATGCACATAACGGGCCGCATTCTGTGTGCATGACGAGGGGGCAAAACCGCAAACTAGTGAATGCAAAATATGCAAAATCCTCCTATACACCCCCTCCAATGCATTATTTTTTTTAAAAAAGGCTCTGCGGCTTTGTTCAAAACTGCAAAGCATATGTTGAATTCCTAAGAGCAACAATCTCTCCCCCCTTGGGGAGGGGGGGGGAGAACTACCATAACAAGACCCTTGTTGCCAGAAACCGAGGGGGCGGCTCGTTGTTTATAGTAGGGGAGGTAACTACAGACAGACAACCTAATAAATAAGGACATTTGGCATTTATTCCATTAGACGAAACGGGAGGAAAACAAAAGGGCATGTAAAGAGGAGAAAGGACGGGATGAGGGGGAGAGGTTTTCAACTCACCTTCAAGGGCAAAAATAGGGGAGACCCCTATCAGTGTGTGCAAAAATCCTAGGAGCAGCAGCCAGGGCCCCGTCATTTTAACCCTGTGGGCCAGCATGCTTGTGCAGGGGGTGGAAAAATTAGGTCTCTGTAGACAGTCCAGGCAGGACTCGCAGCTACAGCTGCCGCCTCTCCTCCTGAGCTCTCCTCTTCTTCACTCTCTTCTTCCGAGGGTCTTCAGTTCTTTCACCATCCACGGGAAGGAGGGAGGCAGGGAGGGAGGGAGGTGTGGGGGGACACGGATTGCAAGGAAAAGCCCCTCGCCCTCCTCCTCTCGCCCTCCCAGCCTAGGAGATGAGAGAGCCCAGCCGCAGCAAAGGCTGGGGAGGGCAGAGAGGAGGGAGGGGGGGTTCAGCCCTTCTTCGCAAGAAAGGAAGGTTGCATGCAAGAAAATAATAATAACAATAAGCGGGGTGGGGGAAGGAGGAGGGGGCGAGTGCGAGGCACAATCGGCAACGGACCCTCCTTCCTTGGTGGTGCACCAGCTTAAACGCCAGCCGAGGTGACTGCAACGGCCATCAAAGGCGCCCGAGAATGATGCATGGGAGGGGGGGAAGAAGGGGGAAGAAAGAGGGGGGGGAGATTCTGATCCAGAGGGAAGAGACGGGAGAGGCAGCAGGCTCCTCGTCCCCCCCTGCTAGGTTGTGCAGAGGATGCACAGGCTCGAGTGTCGCTTGCGCCCCGCTGGCGTTGGCTGCGCAGGGGGGTCCTTCTGCGCCTGCCGCTGCTTGGACGCAGGAGAGAAAGCAGCCCCTGCCTGGCGCAGCAGAAGCCTCAGCCGCCTGATGGAGCTCGCGCCGCCTTCTGCCTGCCTGACGTCATAGGCTCCCAGGGAAAGGCAGGGGAGGGCGCCGCAAACGGGGACTACGCGGCACGGGGCTCAGGGCGCATGCGCCCCCGGTCCCCCTTCCAGCGGCTGAAATGGGAGGGAAAAAGGCAGCTTTTCGGGGGAGGACTCGTTCATCATCGTCCGATGGGGGGTGGGGTGAGGGGGGAGAAGCGTGTGCCGGAAACTGCACGTGAATCTCATTCCCACCACCACCCACCCACCCGGTGGAATCCCACTTCTTTCCCCAGCAGCCCCACCACCACCACCAACTCCAGAGGTTCCTTTTCAGGCATTGCAATCGGAATCGCTTTTTAATTGATTGAAACAGCCACTCGTATCGCTTCTCGGCCTTTTGGTAGGATTGTGTAGGACTGAAATAGCGACTCGCTTGCGTGTGTTTTTTTTCCTTTTAGCGAAACGCCGCTGTATGGAATGTTGCGGTGCCCGGTAGCAAGCCAGACCCCCCCCCCCTTCCTATTGCACAAAGGGAATGCATGGAAGCTCGCAGAGCAGCGAATAGCAGCCAGCCTTCTCCCCCTCCCCACCCTCGTCGGCTTATGTGGAAGCAGCGGCCACTCCTCCTGGGAAAAGGTAGTCGCCGCGCGCCCGCGCAGTTCCGAAGAGAACACCTCTCTTTTTCTCTCGCGCCCGGGTGCATGTGCAGAATACGGCGGTGCCCTTCCACGCGCGCCACGGTGCTCTCGCGCTCTCCGTGGCCATCTCCTGAACGTAAGGGGGGAGTGTACAGGCATGCATTCTTCTTCTTGCAAAGGGAATGCACGTGCGCGTGCTGTTTGAATGCATCGCCACGGAAGGCGTAAGAACCGCGCCAGACCTTCGGAAATGTCATCGGAAGGGAAGGGAAGGGGAGGGCACACCGGCTGTTGAAGAGAAGGATTGATTTTCCCCCCCACCCCCCTTAGGAGAAGACCACGCTTGAGACAATAAATGGTTGCGTCGGCAAACGAATGCCATCCAGGTCCGATGGACAATAAGCAAAATAGCTGCCTTTTTTTTTAATGGTCTCCGAGCTTCATTCACTGCTTGGTGAGGATTTGGGGTTATTTTAATTAGGGTTGCCAACTCTGGGTTGGGAGATTCTGTAGAGCCTGGGGAGGGACCTCGGTGGTATATAATAACCATAGAGCAGTGGTGCCCATGGGCACCAGCTGACATCTTTCTTGATTCTCACCAGTGCTTTTTGAAAGTGTGTGGGTCTGGATGGGGCTTTTTCCCAGCAGAGCTTCTGACTGACTTGTCGATTAAAAGGCACCCAGTTAGGTTTCTGTCTGAAATGCTGAAGTTACTGTTCGCATCATATATAATCTCCCTGACTTTGTGGTTGGCTTCCTCTCCTGAAGCAGCCATTATGTGATTGGCTCCACCTTCTGCGCTGGCCATTTTGTGCATGTGGCCACCACACTGTGTCAGAATTCCAAAGGTGCCCATACGCTCAAAAAGGCTGGGGAACCCTGCCAATAGAGTCTGTCCTCCAATGCCACTGTTTTCCCCAGGGGAACTGATCTCTGGAACCTGAAAATCAGTTTTAATCCTGGGAGATCTCCAAGCTCACCTGGAGACTGGCAGCCCTATCCATAATCCTGAACGTTTGTCATTACGGAGTATATCTGGGAGAAGAATGTGTCCACCGCATCCCATGGGAGCAGAGGACAGACAGCTTTATTCTCACTCTAACCCAAAGTTATTCCTTTAATATATAAATAACTTGAGCTCTGCAGCTTGCTTCTGAGCTCAAAACATTTTTCCCTGGCCTAATCTCGTACCAAGGAACAGTTGTGCTTAGTTACTGGGAAGGGAACAGTTTAGAGCAGGGGTGTCAAACATGCAGCCTGGGGGCCGGATCAGGCCCCCAGAGGCCCGCAGTGGAACTGGCTGCCTTCTGCTGCTTCTTCCACTTCTGCTGCTGCTGCATCATTGTAGGTTTGCAGTTTACAGATACACCTGAACAGCATACTCAAGACATTTTGATGTAGTAATTCAGAGCAAGAGGTGTCAGTTTATCAGACACTGTTAAATAAACAACATTTTGCAATAGTGCTAATGTTTAAGCATGTTTTTATTTTAAGTTAAAAAAAACCCTTTGTGTTTGTGTCCTTTATAAAATTTATATCTCCACTACCTGGCATTATGACACACATGGCCCGGCCCAACAAGGTCTCATTTATGTCAGATCCAGCCCTCATAACAAATGAGTTCGACACCCCTGATTTAGAGCATGAAGGTAGGCCCAGGATTACAATTTATCTCCAGGAAGTGCCAGCTTCGGAGGACAGACTCTAGGAGAAATGGAAGTCCTAGCATGCCATCACATGCCTGAGCTCTAGGCTATCAGCCTCCAGATGGAACCTGGAGATCTACCACTATTAAAGTTGATCTCCAGATGATCAGCACTGGTTCCCTTGGAGACAATGGCTGCTTTGGAAAAGAGATTGTTTATTTATTTACTTATTTATGAAATTAAGTTTTAAACTGCCCTCCCCCAAAGGACAGGGCTCAGGGCGGTGTACAACAGTATTGCATAATACATTATTAAAAGCCAATTAAAACCAACAGAACACAGCAAGTAGCCTAACAGACGGCCCTAAAAATTCTACTGGTGCCACCACCTCACGGGGAGACAGGGAGTGGGACTGCCAAGAAGATGTAACCGTTGCTGTCTTCAACCAAACTCCTGGCGGAATATCTCTGCCTTACAGGCCCTGAGGAACTGCCTCAAGTCCTGCAGGGCACGGATGTTATGAAGAAGAAGAAGCGTTGGTTTTTATACCCCACCTTTCTATACCCAAAGGAGTCTCAAAGTGGCTTACCATCTCCTTCCCTTCCTCTCCCCACAACAACAGACACCCTGTGAGGTAGGTGGGGCTGAGAGAACTTTGAGGGAACAGCTCTGAGAGACCTTTGACTGACCCATGGTCACCCAGCTGACTTCATGTGGAGGCATGGGGAATCAAACCCAGTTCTCCAAATTAGAGTCCTGCCGCTCTTTACCACTATTATTCACCAGAGAGTTCCTCCAGGCTGAGGTCCCTCCCCTCCCCAGACCCCGCCCTCCCCAGGTTCCACCCCCAAAATCTCCAGGTATTTCACAACCCAGAGCTGGCAACCCTACGGAGCTCCCTCCTCTCCCCAAGCACCGCCCCCAAATCTCCAGGAATTTCCAAATCTGGAGTTGGCAACCCTAGGTGAAGAAAAGGCCTTCCCTGTGTTTTATTAGCATGTGCCAGTGACACCTGGCAAGGGTGGAACTTACTAGGAGAGGGGCCTTCTTGGTAGCTGTATTGTATTGTGGAATCCTCTCCTTCAAAAGAGAAAAAAAGATTGGATTTATGCCCTGCCCTTCACTACCCAAGGGAGTCTCAGAGCGGTTTACAATCTCCTTTCCTTTCCCCTCCCCACAACAGACACAGGTGGGGCTGAGAGAGCTCTCTGGAGAACGGTCCTTGAGAGAACAACTCTGAAAGAACTTGTGACTGACCCAAGGTCACACCAGCGACTGCATGTAGAGGAGTGGGGAAATCAAACCCGGCTCCCCCAGATTAGAGTCCGCGCTCCCAGCCACTACACCACACTGGTTTGACCCCCTCAGTTGCCTCTTCCCCTGAAGTAACAGCCACAGATTTCTTCCACCGGGCTTTTGAGTGGAAGGCTTTTGCTTACCAACAGCTGTTCTTTTTTTCTTTTTTTTAATACACATGTTATTAAAAAATTAAACAAGATTCATAAAAACGCAAGAAAAGAAAAAAGAATCACAGAGAATGGAATTAAGAGCGTTTACTAACAGCTGTTCTGAGGCTGTGGGCAGAACGCATGCCTGTGGGTTTTTATAAAAAAAAAATTGTTTTATTATTTGTTGCAATTTATTGGATATTTTTTTCGCACGGTGCCCTAAGCAGCCCTTAATAGTAGCATACAAATACGGTAAATAATTGTTCCTTTTAAAATATCATTGCTTCACATGCTTCAACGCAAAGTATGACACTAAAAACCGCCACTTCAGCCTAATTTTGGTTACAGCCTGGGAACCTGCCAACAGATTATTGTCTTTGTTAAGTAACTATGAGTTCCAAGGCTTAGCTCAGTAGTGAAACAACAGCTACGGTCTTTGGGGCAGGGCCTGTCCGGTCTTGAAAGAGTCCCTTAAGAATATTTCCAAGTGGTGTTCCAAAGGGGTATGCCTGTTTTCCTGCCCCTAACTTCTGTGTCTGTGTGTGCGTCATTAAAATTTAGTGGCTGCTGCTTTTACTCCTTCCCTCCAAGGTCAACAATCACACTGCCAGAGCTAGAGCTGCCAGCCTCCAAGTGATGGCTGGAGATCTCCCACAATCAGGGGTC